ATCCCTGCCACTGTCCACTGTGCTGTCAGCACCCCCATCCATTCCCCCCTATCTGCCCTTCTGGTAAATCTAGTCAGCCAGAGGTCCCTGTTCCAGGAGGATCAGCTGTTCCTCATCTACGGCAATCCATTGTCAGTATTCCTTTGGATAGAATTGGGGTCTGCTGTTAATGTTTCCAGTAGTATGTTGGGTTACTATCTGGAAGAGCCTTTATCCATCCTGGCCAAGAACTCGACTGAAGGTATCGCCTGTCTGGCTTTGCTGTTTGTCAAGTAACTTTTAGCCATATATGTATGCTCTTATGAAATTATACTCTATACTCAAATTTTATCACCTAGATTCTGTTAGCATTAGAATGAGGTCAGCTTACAATAAAGTGCCTTCTGCTTTACAGTTCCCTCACTGGTCAAGCCTAGGAAAAGAGTTAATGGGGTGTGGCACGGAGTAGCCAGCTTCTTCTTATATACCAACATCACACTGAAATCGTGGTTATCCACGGATGGAATACCACAGTTAGAATGGCAGTGGGGTCTTGAGTAAAACAAATTGCAATAAAAGTGTGCAAAAGGGTTAGCATATCCTTATACATCAGTCTTAAAATTGAGTTTTCTTTCTTAGAGTCTTACTCTGTAGCTCAGCGTGGCTGTCAACCTTCCACGTGCTGGGATTAGAGGTGTGACCACTTTACTTGGATTCACACATGAGGAAAAATGGCCTCATAATCCAGATAGAATTTTTCTGTGAAATTTTTTAAAGATTGACTTCTTCTAAAGTTTTGTGCATGTATGTATGTGTGTGTCTCTGTGAGTATGTGCCAGGTGTGTACAGGTGTCCTCCGAAGCCAAAGGAAGACTTTGGATCTTCTGGAGCTAGATGGTTGTGAGTCATCTGGTGAGGTGCTGGGAAGCAAACAGGTCCTCTGAAGAGCAGCAGGCATTCTTTACCACCGCATCATCTCTTCAGTGCTTTATGGAAATTTTTTATTGTTGTTTTTAAGGAAGCATAACAAATATTCCTATTTTGGTTCTCCTCCATGGACATAGTTTGAGTTAAACCATGTTTATATTTCTATATTGCTTAGTTGCTCGGTTATTACAGTTGGACTGGCCAAATAGAACTAAACCTGCCCCCTTTTTAAAATCCTCCCCTCTATTACAGTTGAGTGAAAAAAGTCACAGTTTTGGTGCCCTCTCAATACAAAATTAGAGTTGTGTTTTCTAACTGAAAGTGTGAACCACAGGACTCATGGTGTGCTGTTGCTCTGTTTCTGCTCTGTTTAGTCTGCTGGATGAGCTTCCCGAGTCGGTGCTTACGTGGGCCCCTCCTGAAAGCAGCTGCAGTAAGTCAGACAACCTCATCTCTCTCCCCACAGCTCACCACATTTGTCACTGTACCCCACCCATTCCTATTCCTACGGAACAGTAGAACTTTCAGGGTCACAGATAGTTTGCAAAGAAGAAAAGCTTTAAATCCTCTTTGACATTAGGGCAGAAGAGGTGGAGTTCCAGGGGCCCTGCTCCTGGCTTTTGTGTGTTCATGGTTATTTTTTTACATTTATATTTTGAGAATATGCACAGGTTGATCCATTGTAGCTAGTATTTTTAGAATAAAGACTTTCTGGCATTGTCTTTCCATATATTGTTGAAATAAGATAAAGTTGACGTATGGAAACACTACTTTAAGTCAGAAATTAAAAAAAAAAAACAAAAAAACCCAACATAATCATTAAACACTTGAATGGTTTTTAGACCCAAGCTACATTTTGCTGATAACTCAGCAAAAAGTTTTTGATTAGAAAATCATGTGATCTTGGAACTTAGAGGCACATTTTAGACATGGTTTTCTCTAAGTTCACACAGAACTTTTTAGAATTCTTTAACAGCCTTATAACTGAATAGTAAATCAACTTGAATTCCCATTTATGTCACTTATCTATGCATGCCTGACTCATTCAGCGCTAACTTGAGATTTGCATTAGTCTTTTTCTTTTCCAGGCACAGATCAGTAGAGTGAATCTTTTCTCTGTTGACACTAGGCAATCTGGAGGTCAGCCTTTCTCTGACTTGCAGAAGTACATACCTACACTGACCCTCTAGTAAAGGTTAGATACCATCAGTGTTCATTTGAGAGTTGAGAAGTGATTATAGTTTATCCTAAACTTACATTCACAGCCCATCTTTGACTAACCAAGCTTGTCATTTGTGAAGGAAACAAAGAGGAACAGTCTGGGTCTGTCCCATCTCCTTTTCCTGAGTTCATTGACTATCCCAATAGGAGGCATCTCTCTCTCTCTCTTACTGTAATATTTTTCTTCCAGTGGCGGGAACCAAAGAAGATTTTCATTTATGTACATAAGCTAAAAATGGAAAGTTTTAGTTGGTGGTGGTTTTGTTTTATTTTGTAACTGCATTAAAGAAGCAACAAAACCAACATTATTCCTCTTTAACTAATCTTAGTGATATTTTTACCAGATTATATAGTGTACATTTCACTCCAGGGGATGGAAAGTGGGATGGATGGGAGATGTCATTTCCTTTTAAGTTGTATATCTCCCTTATTTTTCTCATTCCTTCTGCACAAAAGGTAACTGTTCAGCTTAGGATAGAAAGTATGGATGTCCTGGATGGTACAGCATAGATGCTGTGGGCCAGTTTCTGTCCTGTGGTAATTCCATCATTAGATGAGTTAGAATCTGAGTTACATGAAAAAACTAGTGGAGAGATCCACCTGGTTCCTTTCTCACATCAGCAATTCCTGGAGTACAAAATGTCAGTGACGTTTTCTTAAGAGGTTATAGAAGATACACAATCATGAAAACAAATTGATTTACAAAACATTTATTCCTGAGACCCTTAAAAAAAAAGAGAGAGAGAACCAAGAAGTTTGCAGCGTGCATGCCCGAGTCAGTGTAGTGCTTTCACACGTTTTTATTTCTTGAAATAGTAGTCAGTCGATGATGCTTCTGCATCACTGGCTTGAAAGCAGATGATTCAAAAACTTTGTGTTCATACTGCTCAGTGCCTTTTGTCTATAGCTCTGGAAATAACGCTAGTAAATTAAAAACTATTTCATAGAGTAAATCCAGGTCTTGGCAGGCTACTGTTTCCACCAGTACTCCATCACAGCACTCCGTGCTTCGGGTTTATGATAAAAGACCCATGAAGGTGATTCTCTTCTTTGCTCCATCCTCTGCCTCACTGGTACCTCATTTTCCCAAACCTCATTGCCATGAGACTTTGCACACAGCTATTCTCAGTGGGTGGTGTGCTAGGAGTTCTCCATTGTCTTAGGACAGGTTTGTTCCCGACAGACAGCTCTCTTCCCCATTTGGGACCCTCTGGTGAATAGAATTGCAGTTTGTATCAAGCTTGACTCACCAGCTTTTGATAGACTAGAAAGCAGCAGAATGTCTATGAAAATGGTAGGGAGTGTTAAAAGTCATTTTGTTTTTTGATTTTTCCTTAAGGAATTGGATGCTCCCTGAAGGACTCCAGGAAACACTGTTTAAAATATGTGATAAGTCTCGTTGAACAAATGCTAGATAACAAATATTAATGTCTCAAGTCAGAGAAGAAAAAAGTAGGCATAATTGCTACATTGTCCAGAAAAATATAAAATCTCAGAGCCATGAGCTTTCATTTTAACTGTTAGCTCTTTATTTCTAGAAAATGAAGAAAATGTTTGAAACTCTGAGGTATAAAATAGTAACTCTGGAGGGCTAGAAAGAAGGCTCAGTGGTCAAGAGTGCTTACTGCTCTTACAGAGGACCTGAGTTGGGTTCCCAACACTCATGCCAGGCACTCACAACAGCTTGTAACTCCAGCAGGTGGATCTGATGTCTCTGGCCTCCAAGGACACCTGCACTTGTACACATATCCCACTCCCCACCCACACACATACACACAAAAGAAAAAAAAAAAAAAGATCACTCTGATTTTAACAAGGACACTATTCCTTTTAGAAGTTTTCTGTCTGGGGAGTGAAGCCCAGCACTTCAAATGTCTCTCCTTGAATGGAGGGAGGCTGAAGGGAAGGGAAGGTGATTAGGAGGTCACTCCTGCAACCTATGAAACTTCTCAAACTTTCCTGCTATGGAATAGAAACAGCCAAGTGAGAACGTAAGCAGTACTCATATTTGGGTCAGAATAAGATTTTGAAGGGGAAAGGCATATATAAATATTTGAATGAATGAAAATCTGCCAGTGTTTAGGATTAAGTAGGGTACAGTAGGGTATCGTATTATTATTATTTCTATCTCAATTTTTGCTTTGCCCCTCCCTGAAACAAAAATCCAAAGCATAAACATTTTCCTGAAACTCTGTATCACTTGATTATTAATTTTACTTCCATTTAAAAGCTGCTTGGGAAAGGCTGGAAAAGTTAAGTGGCAGAGTGAGTGTTTAGCATGTGTGAGGCCCTGGGTTCACCATCCAGCACTGAAGTGAAAAACAAAAATAAATAGAAGTTGGCAAGAGAGGTTTTATAGCTCTAGTGAAATAAAATATGCTTTTACATTAGAAGGAAAATAAAAGGTGATAACTCAGCTCACTGAACTAAAATCAAGAATACCATGAATGCCCTAGGCCCGCTAGGTCTAGGAGACCTGAGGGAGCCTTCCTGGAGTTCAAGGTCATTTCTACATTTTCTCTCCTAATCACAAAATGAAAGCCAGAGGAAAAGTTTGCAATGAATTTTTCCCCCTTTGAAGTCAGGTTTAAGAAGTAGCATTTTCTTTTACCTGAATATTTTAGAGTTCATTGTAAACAAAAAGCTGGAAGCATGTTTGATATATTTTTTTCGTGTAGCCTCTTAGTAGCTTCACCTTATAAATCAAAATTAGTAACTATAATTATTAAAGTGTGCTTCCATTTGTAAGTTCTAATTGTAAACATATCAACAAAAGCTATGTAGAAAGAGTTCTAATTGTAAACATATCAACAAAAGCTATGTTGAAAGATTACCAATTTGTCCTATTTTTGTCAGATTTTATATCTATATCTATATATAGATATACAGATATATAGCAGTTATATTGAATATCATTTAAAAACTGCTTTTATTGAATTATTTTTAGTTCCTTCAGATATATATGTGTTAAAGGAATAGAGATAATAGATTATTAAGGTTATTGGATTTTTGATAATTCTTGCCAATTATGAATTGCCATTCATGTTAAAACTTTAATATTTCACAGGAGAACTTGCCCAGTATTTGGTATGTGTTACTAATTTAGCTTATGATGAAAAGCCAGACTATCACAAGCTCAAGAAAATTCTGTATCCAGGTGGAATATCATTAGGACCATTGGAATTTTCCACCACGGCACAGAGTGTCAATATCCACACTCCAACCCATCAAAAAGTAAGTCTATCATCATCCCTGGGATCCCACCATTGCTGTCTATGAATCTTTTCTGTGACTTTTCTTTTAGGTCCAAAGTGAGTGTCACACCTCAGTTTCTTGCTTGTTACATTTAATTCCAATTTCCCTAATTCAGCACCAAGAAGCTTTTGAAATGTCCCTCTGACATGTTGACTCTTAGAGGGGGATCTACGTCCTCCTGCTTGCTGATAAAAAATGAAGCAGTCACCAGTGTCTTTGTGTATGGCTAGGGCAGAGCCAAGGGCCAGTCCACCTGGATTCATAAGAGCCTTCATTTGCTTCTTTGGGTTTTCTTTGATTACTGCCCTGAGTTTTCTGTTTGCCAGTTTGACCGTGAGAGCATGTGAAGATATGTATGCATGTATTTCAGTCCATAGAGATAATTTCTTTACGGAAGTTGCTACATCTTTATTGAACTACCTACCTTCCAGTGGACTCCCTCACATCAACTTAAAAAAAGAAATAGTACTGAAAAACAAAGACTTAGAAAGTCAAAGGTTTTTAGGAAGCAGATGGTGAAAACTTGAGTCTTTTGTTAGCAGCACCGCTATACAAACCAGTCACTAAATATCTCTCTTCCTTGTGACTATCCGTATGCAGTACATAAATAAATGTGGAGGTCATTTTATCTGATGGAAGTAAAGAGGGTTCAGATACTGTTCATTTCTAATATCTCTGATGAACTTTGGATCATCACAAGTACTTGTGAGCCAAAAATGCAGGATGCGAACTAATGTGACTGATAGGCTGCTAGATGGATGGTGAGTCAAGTATCTGCACAGATGGTTCTGATTTGCTGAATTTTGTAGCTGCTGCAACTGAAGACATAAAATATCCTTCTAGTCATAAATTAGCTCTTTGGAAGCAAAACCTTGGCACCAGAGCTTTACAACCTTCAATTAGTAGGAAAAGAAGTATTTGAATGACTGTGGTATTGACATCTGTAGGCCTGCATAGTAATCATTCCTAATAGAAGAGAGTATCTGTTTGAGGAGGGTTTGCATGGCTAATTAACTACCAGTGGGAATATGTAATTTTTTCATGATCTCCTGATTGTCACCTTTCTCTTATGATACAATTACATTTTATTGTAGCAAGTGCCTCCCAACCAGTTGTCAGCACTATTTATGTATTGCAGAAGGCAGAACAAAAGTTCGCGTTTAATAAAGGGCCGCTGGATTTTTATCTTGGTAATTACTGAGACTTATTTTAACAGTTTATTGACTTTTGTATTTTTATCACTTTTCCAACCAACCAAAGAGTCATTTCCTTGACATAGGATTCCTCTTACAGTAATGGTCACTACTTAATCTGCACTAATTTAAGAAGATTTTCACCCTTTTTTTTGTAGTTTCAATTTCATAAGCTTAACTGAAATACAAAAGAAGCCCATTTAAAGAACTTTTAGTTCACTGTATTCAAAGGGTGTTTGTTGTGAAATCATTTTTTAAGCCAAGAATTTGATGTAAAACATTTTCCAATATTTTATTTTTGATTAGACCACTTTGATTATAAGTAAAACTACTTAAGAATAATATGTATCCTTAATACCTTAATTTCTGTTAACAGTACAGTCAGTCAGCATGTATACAGACAGCATTGCAATATTTAATCATGAATGCCTGCATTTCTCTAGTATTTTTTGTGTATATATATTTAATGATAGCAAAAAAATACAGTTTCACCATCTGTCACTGAAGTGTATCTTAATTTTAATTTCTAAAGTTTATAGGTTTTTACTAATACCATAAAAATCAAGCCTGTAAATGTTGAAAAGCAAAATGTGCTGATGTAAACTGTCCTGTACTCAGTCCCACTGAGCAATGGACACAGGATGCCTTCCACAATAAACGATTCCCTAACAGAAGTGTTCGGGACAAAAGGGACTATCACCTTACTGGCTCCAAATTTTCTTTCTTCTGAGTCACAGCAGGTTGTTAGCAACTTAGGACGTTTCCTGACTTCCAAATGGAGTCTAGACTTCTACTTTTCCTATTCTGTACAAAGGTACTTACAAAAGAAAAACCATTGGTCTCTTTTTTTCAATTGTATACAGATACAAATAAAATGTTTTTATAATTTATTCAGTGGAAAAAAGTTATGAATGTTTCTTTTTTTTAATTAAGTGAAATTTTGAGAATTTAGCATTAACAAATACATTTGGCTTAATCGTAGAAAGTGGCACACTACTGTAAGAATCTCAGCAAATTTACAGTATATTTTTGAAAAAGCAAAAGAATTATTTTTCTAAGACAGCAAAGTTTCCAGCAAACTGTGCTTCCCTTTGAAGTCCTCAAATACTGTTGCTAGAGTTAAATTGGAAATTAAATTTTTCGGCTTGCAGAAACTGATATTTTTTTGAGGTCATTTGCCCCAAGGAAAATGCTGCACATGCAGCTAGAGTCACCTTCTGCAGCTTTGGAGGTGCCTGCTGTCATGTGACCAGTCGGGTGAGATATCCTAGGCTGCCTCAGGCTACTTAATGCCACCCACTAAAGAGTCTGGGCTTTTCTACCGGTGGTTGTTGTGTTCTTATTTTGTTTTGTGTCGTGTATTGAACCCAGGATCTGATGCCTACTAATATGATCACTACCACTGAGACATGTTCCTCAGTCCCCCTCTGGGAGTCAATGTGCCAAACTCAGTGAATGAAACCATATTTTCCTAGTGTATGCCGAGATGAGCTAAAACTCGGAATTCTCAGAGCATGTCATACACAGTGGGAAATTGGTACTGTGGGAGGCCAGTTCACCATTTTATCATCTGTCTCTTTGTATCAAGGACTAGAATCCGATTGGAACAGTACAGACGCGTGTGCAGGAGGAGTTCCCTGTTTCAGGCAGAGGGAGCTGGAGGTTACAGTTTCCCTGAGCCCGAGATCCAGCAAGTCCATGGGAAGGCCTTGCTGGGGTACAACATCGTTTACAAAATACTTTCCTAAACTTTAATTCTCAAAATAATTCTATGAACTTTTTCTATGTATAAGAATGCAATACAAATTCTTTATTAGAAACAGTTTTGATTTAATCAATGTTTAGAGATTAAGAAAACACTTTCAGGAGAGGCATGGTGGTACACGCACCATGTCTCCCAGCACATGGGAGACAGAGGCAGGGGGGATCTCTGTGAGATAAAAGCCAGCCTGGTCTGCTTAGTTCCAGGTCAGCTGTGACTACCGGGAGACCCTGTCTCAACAACTCTCCATCCAAAAAAGGTCTTTTGGTTTTATAACTATTCTTGAAAATGATACATATTTGGGAAGCATCCTATTTGATCCTGAGATGCCTGGAGAACTTTCTGTACTTTCATATCTTTGCATATAACACAGTTTCACATGTTCACAGTTAAGAATTAGCTTACTCATCCGTCTGAACTCTCACCATTACAAATTTCTATAAAAGTTGAATTTTTCCAAAAACTGGGCATTATTTTGTTACTAAGTAGATGTGTCCATGGCAGTACAACCTCAGTTTCTGGCCACTGACAGCAGATCCAGAGTGCGGTGTGTTCTAGGAACCCTCACACAGGACAGAATATATTATGTCCAATCCTCTTTATATGTCAGAGACTCCATAGGCAAAAACTGGTACCTTATATGCTTAGCACATAGGAGGCATTAAAAACTTTAGTCGTATCTCAACTAAAACTAGTACTATCTGGCTTCTGACTGTATAGCCAGAAGAAATGAAATCATATCAAAAAGATCTGTGTATCTTTCTGCAGTATTATTTATAGTAGGAAAAGATGTGTCTATTGATGAATAAAGGAAATGGGTTGTGTATGGAATATTACCCAGCCTTTAGAAGGAAGGAAATCCTTTCTTTTAACCTATGTGAACTATGCCAAGCTGGTAAAAACAAATACTGTGTGCTATAATGTACATGTGGAAATCTAATGAAAGAAAACAACAGAAAATCAAATGGTAGAATTCAGAAGCTTGGAGTTGGGGAAATGTGGGGATATTGGCCAAAGATATATAAGATGAATCAGTTACAGGAATGTAGTCTATAGCAGGGTGACTATAGTTAAAAATACTGTGTCATGTATGTAAAAGAAAATAGATGTTACATTCTCACGAAATGTGATGGATGTTTCATCTTGACTGTGGCATTTCACAGTGTATATATATCATACATCTTAAAACTTATAATTGGTTGATTATGTTTCAATAAAGATGGGCGGGGGAGTCCTCACCTAACCCTTTGCAGCACAATGCATGTTTCACAATGACTGCCAAGCCAGTGTTCTGAGGGAATGAAACAACCTTGGGCCACATCTGGGGACTCCTTGTTTCACATTAGTGAGACACTGCATGGACACTGCAAGGCGGCTGCAGAGAAGGTGGGAGTAGAGTCCTTGTCAGCACTCCCAGTGGGCTTAGAGGGTGGGTGAGAAAACCTAACAGTTCAAGTGATCAGGAAATGGGAAACGTCTGCAATCTACAGGTAGGTGAAAGGCAGTGGTTTTGCCATGCTTGGGAAGCAGAGTCCAGCAGGAGGTGGGAATAAAGGAGGGTGTTGTGACAACTTGCCCCACCCTCAGAACACCAGTGTTTTTTAGAGAAGGAATGAACACATTTGGCAATCAAAGCTAAAAATTGAGAGAGTACAAATTAAGGCTGTTTGCCCAGCCGGCATCATTTACTCTGTTTTGGCACTGGCTACTCCATTATTTCCCCTGGTGCTGCTCCTGCCTTCTGCTCTCTACTTAACCCAGACAAAAGGCAATGGCACTTTCAGCTGCTGTAAACACCGAACTGCTGAACAAATACTTCACTCAAGGACCTTCACTGTGGCTTTCAATCTTCCACCTGTGCTGGAGGATCTGCCCTCTATTCCTGCGTCTACTTCAGGGTTAGAGAGAGTCAGTCATTCTCTGATATCACCACAGTGAGTAAAGGAAACTAAAACACAGGCAAGCTTGTTGTGGAAGTTAACCTCTGGTACTAATGCACAGATGACAAGAACTCACCTTGCTCAAAGGTTAAACTACCTGCGTCAAATATAAGCAACATCTTAAGCTCCTTTTATACTTCCACATTAATTAGCCTCACTCAACAATAGAAAAATAAGATTTTAACTAATAGGAATTTAAGCTACGAAGATACACTGGCTCCACTTGTAGCAAAGGTTAATAATGAATTCACATGCCGTTTGAAAATGTGACAGTTTTCCATAAAAATACCATTTTCATTGTAAGCAAGTTTTCCGCGCGTGGAGATAATTTCTAAAGAGTGTGTAACAGTGACATTAATTTTAATTAGTCTTGTCCCACTGATGAGGAAGGGTCTGGATCTTGCTAGCCATTGTATTTTTCCCACAATGTCCATTGTTGCTTTTTCTTTGTTTCTTTCTTTGTCAAGTTCAAGCTTAGCAAGTTTAGGATTATCAAAAAATCTGGATGTTAGTACATTTTGTGTAAAAGAAATGTCAAAAGTTTTCATTGTATATTCTTGTTCTATACCAACAGGTTGATTCACAAGACATTGAAACAAAACCAATCAGTGAGATGCCAGATAAGTTCACAGGCCAAGTTTATAGAAAGAGAAGTCCAGAGTCCACTGCAGCACAGAGACAGGTGCGGGAAGAGGGCTGGCCCAGAAATGTCAAGTCTTCTACAGCAAGGAGACAGGTGCAGGAAGAGAGCCAGCCTAGAAGTGCGGAGTCCGCTGCAGCACAGAGACAGGTGCGGGAAGAGGGCTGGCCCAGAAATGCAGAGTCCGCTGCAGCACAGAGACAGGTAAGGTGGGTTGTGTAGGGTTCTTTTCTTAATGTTACATTGGAATATGACCTTTGGGAATAAAGGCTCCATCCCCAAGGTTAGGTGGTCTTGTTAAACGAGGACAGACAATATCCTGTCCACCTGGTAAAATCAAAGTACCTGACAGCAGTTATTACAGGAACAGAACAGTGGTAAGCACAGAGGTGTATAGAGCTGATTTCATTCTTTATTCTAAGAATGTGATGACGTGCACTAGGATTTCCTATGCCATCTACAGTCCATTAGAGACTCAACATACATGCGCTCCACTTTATATCAGTTCCTCTAGTTTAAGCTTTACAGTCAATGTAAGTGAAAGATTGCCCTGTCAGTAGCTTATATTTTAAGAGACATTTTTATGTCCTGGGATCATTTGGGTGAATAGTGAGATACCCTTTGCAAATGACTCATATAGACAAGGGCAGAAATCCTCCCACCTTCTGATAGGAAAATAAAGCATACAATATATGTATGGAGTAAACAATAAAGTTTAACTTTGTCAAAATAAGCAGCATTTGATGATTTGTGCACATCATCCTCACACAGTTTGAAGCAGTTCACAGTGTGAAGCAGGATATTTAAAACTCCCGCCTTCCATACCCTCTGCCCAAGAAAATCTGATATATTGGGCAGCTGGGAAGTTAATCTCTAAACGGAATTCTGAATTTGGCTCTGAACCTTTTGGCAGCTAAGGCAAAAATTAGAAGCCGAGTTATACATTCTGTATCCAACAAGCAAACAAGTTTATCCAAAGAGAAATGTTTCTTGTAATGCTCAGAGGCATCTTTTGCATTTATTCAGTCTGGAATGGTAGCATTGTTTGTGGTTTTATTTTAAACTTACATATAGAAATCTACTTCAAATGGGCATATTTTATAGTTCCCATTTCTAAGTTTAGCACAAACATTGCTTGGTGACAAAATCAGAACTTGGAAGTCTTTAGTGTGCTCTGGGATCTCCTGCTGGCCAAGGCAGGGAAGCATAAGAGCAGATGCCCAGGTTTCAAGCAAAGAAGTGCATCGCTTTGGCTGACCTGCTAGTGGGACTTGTGTAGACTTGAGAACTCCAGAACATCACCTGTTCTTTATCCTAGGCTCCTTTCCCCAGCACCAAACAGTGTTCTGACTTTCTGATTCTCAACTCTAGGTTTGCCTCTTCTTGAATGCCATGTACATGCAGGAATTCTGTACGTATCACTTGTATCCAGCCTGCTTCATTTATTATTTGTTTGAGACTTCTCTGTATTCATGAATATATCAATAATTATTTGTCACTGCTGAGCAGCACATAATGAGTAACTGCAGAAGCCACATGTCCACATTCCTTCCAATGGTATGTGAGTTACTCCTGGTTTCTGGCCACCATGAATTTGGCTACTTTAATTATTCTTCCCTCAGTCTTTTCATAGACATTTCATTTCTCCTGAGACATGAGACTGCTGGGTTATGGGGCACAACATTTGTCTTCAGTTATTAAATGTTGGCAAATGGGCCAGTGAGATGACTTAACTGGTACTGGGCTTGTCACAGCCTGAAAACCTGAGTTTTCAGCATCCAGATGGTGAAAGGAGAGAACTGACTCCCCCCAAGTTGTCCTCTGACCTCAGCACACGTGCCCTGGCTCCTTTCCCCAACAAATAAATAAATATAACATGTTGGCAACAATAACATGCAAGAGTTGTTCCTATGCTTCCTCTCCAGCATGTAGTACTGTCAGTCTTTCACACTTTAACTGAATTCTAATGTATATATTAGTATCTCATTGTAATTACAGTCATTTCTTTACCTGAGTACTGGTAATTTGGAGCACTATTTTATTTTATGTGGTTGCTGGCCTTCTATATATCTTTTTGTATGAAGTATCTTTCTGAGCATTCTGAGTCATTTTTATTTGCATGTTTGTCTTTTCATTGTTGAGCTATGGAAATCCTTTACATATTTGACGTACAAGATTGTCATGTTTCTGTACTGTGGCTATTTCTACCTACTCATTCACTGAACATTGTTACTGTCACAGGTGCACCTGTGGTTCACAGGGCCTGTGTGTGGTGTGAGGTAGGAGTCGAGCTTTGTTCCTGTCCACTTGTCTTATTTCAGCACCATTCGTTGAAGATTTTCCTCTTCCTAATTGAACTCCTTTGGAACCTTTTGAGGAAATCTGCCATCTAGCAGTGCAGGACTGCTCCTGGGCCACTTTCTCCCATTCTTTTTGTCTTCCTAGACCAGAACCACACTACCATACTACATACATTACTGTTCCTTTGCAGCAAATTCTAAAAGGAGTGCAAATCCTTTCACCTTTTCTTTAAAAAATGCAAGGCCTGACCATTTTAGTCTTGGTCCAGCCATAATATTTAAGAACCAGCTCGTTGGTTCCATATAAGCTGATCAATGGGATTTTGTTGGAAGAACATTGTGTCTACAAATCAGATTAGGGAGAACAGGCATCCCACTATGGTGTGTCATGGTGCGCCAACTTCCAGCTGTTCTCCATTGTTGGTTTCAACTAAAACTTTGTACTTTTCAATATAGACCGATGTATCTTCCATTTAAAGTATATCCAAATTTTTCCCTTTTTTATCATAAGAACTGATTTTCTCATATACAGAATCATAATGTTCATGTTTTGTGTAGGCAAGAGCTTACATTAGCAAGTGATTACTAAATTGCACAATTCTCAAAGTAAAGGAAAAAGAAAAACATCACCACCACTTAGTGTTCTAGAACCTGAGCAGGTTTTTTGAAGATCAACTCTGCATTTACTATCTTTACACAGAAACAAGTACATATAGCTCATTATTTTGTAAACTGCTTTCATTTTTAATAAGTGGTAAATGATATATAGAAAATTGTTTTAAAATTATGAATTAGAGTAGGTAACTCTTTGATTTGTATGTATTAGTTACTTTTTACCTATTAATATTTTTATTTACCTGTATCTGGGGCCACATAAAATTTTGGGGACCAAAAATGGTCTTAGGTTGAAGAGGTTCAAGAATCTCTATGTTAGAGAAAGCCTTCAAGGATGCCGTGTGCAATTTAACAGGCAATTTTGATTTGGGCTCAGAAGACTAAAATTCTGATAGAAATACAGACAACAAATGGTATGTGGTGACTCACTGCTGTAATCCCAGTGCTCAGGAGGCTGAGGCAGGATGATTGCCTTGACTTTAAGGGCAGCCTAGGCTACATACATAGTGAATGGTACCCAGTTGAACCATTGCAACCTCTGAGTAACCTGCTGGATGAAATGAATCCAGGGAAGATGTGTCTAAAGCCATCTTGGGCAGGTAGGATACAGGATTTTCTTGAAAATCTTTGAATCAGATTCATGGTTTTATACTTTTGAGCCTGTATGGCTGGGGCCATACTTATTCCTGAGATGGTTTAGGGCATCTTTTCTAGGAAAGATTATCATTGTGCTTATAAAGCTTCAGGTTTATTGAGCTTCTTTTATCTATGGCTTAATATTTGTCATCAAATTAGAAAACTTTTCAACTTTGTCTTCAACTTTAGGCTTTACTCCTCCTTCTCTTCCTTCTGAGTTCCAAGTACTCACGTACAGAGTACTTTTTTCACAGGCAGCAGAGGCAGTCTTGATTTTTCAGGTCTGTCTTTTATCTTGCTGTTTGGACTGTTTTTTTGCCCAGCCTCGGGAACTGCCAAATAATCAGTGTCCAATCAGCAGTTACTTAGCCAATGGAAGTTTGGATTTCTTATGTTGTATTTTTCTGCTCCAGAACTGGATTGTATTTACACATCACTGCTAAGATCCCCATTTAGAAATTACTTTTAACTTTTCCTTTAAGTCCTTTAAAGAATTTTGAGTTCTGTTCTAGTAATGGATTTATTGGTTTAACTTACGTCATGGACTCAGCTTAGTTTTTTCTGATCTGTTCTAAGTAAATTAGAGACTTTGTGGTATCTGAGTTATTTTTCCTGTGTTTTCCTTGTTAGTTTTAGATGTTTCATGAGTTGCCTTACATACGTTGACCAATTTCAGGAGGTGGTTTGATATCTATTACTTATGACTGGAGAAAAGTTGCATTGCTGTTTTCCATAGGACCCAGCTGACTGTAATGTGCATGCAAGGTTAATAACCATTGTGATAGTGGGCTTCTGGGATCAGTGCTGTTGGCATTAGAGCTGTGCTATTTGCAGGGTGGCTCTCCTGCGTGCTGTAGGGTGCATGTAGTATTCCTGCTGTTTATCCGCTAGTGGCTAATAGTACTTCCAGTTCTGACAACTCGAATGGTTCCAAAAATGATTAACCATGTCTGTAGCTTAAAATCATTCTAGGTTGAGTACTGTAGCTGAATAGATTACTGCATGGTCTTAAGTCCTTGGTACTCCTTGCAAACCAGCTATACCGGTATCACTCAGTGTTTTGGGAACACATAATGGCAGCCACACACACATACCCCACCTGAGAACTACATTTTACTAGGATCCCAAATAATCTATGTGCCTTCTGCTGTGGCCTGTGAAATGTCCCCCATAGGCTGACGACAGTTTGAGGAGCTGTGAAACCTTTAGGAGGTGGAGCCTTATAGGAGGAAGCATTACTTCAGGCTTTACTGCTCACCCCACTTTCTGTCCACTCCGTGCTGCCTGATGTGGATGCAGTGGCTCCTGCTCCCAGCACCATGCCTTCCCTGCCTGCCACCATGTCCTCCCTGCCATCATGAGCTCTATTCCTCCTGAACTGCAAGCCAACAAAATAAGCTCTTTCTCCCTTAACTTGCTTTTGTCAGGGTATTTTTATCACAGCACTGATACAGTAACAAGTAGACCTTCTCATGACAATCTCATTTGCCAGAGACCAGCTGTCTTTTCTCTCCAGTGCTAGGGATCAAATTCAGGACCTCACATATAGTAAGCAAGTACTCTCCCACCCAGCCCAGTGAAATTTTTCTCAAATGGCCCAACAGAAGACATTTTGGTCTTACAACCCATATTTTTGTTAGAACTATTCAGTTGTACTTTTTCCATGGAGAAATCAGCCATAGGTGGAACATAAATGTATGATGTAGCTGTGTCCCGATAAAAAAATATTCACAAAACACGCACGTTAATAACAAAAAATGCTGTAACCTTATAGGCTCTTTCCCAATCAGATCTCTCAGTACAGAAGTACCTTCTTGATAGATGTCATCAGCTGTTGCTAAGACACATTGTACACAGGCTATATAGAAGATGCGTGTAGAACTTTTAGTAGTGTGATTTCGGTTCCCAACTAGGTGTATAGCCACATTAAGTTGTATGTAAATGCTGCATAAGCTAACTTACTAGTGGTTCCCGGCCCTTAGAAATGTATTTAATAGTGTGTTTCTTTTCTTTTGTGTGAGAATGGTTTAGTGTGCAGGGGTAAATATTCACTTAATTTCTTCTAGTAAATTAAAACTCTCATTAAGAAGGAAGGTTATTCCATTCTGAGTAGCAATTTATTTCTCTTCTATTTTTAAAATATTATTTTTATTTTATGTATATGAGTGCATCTCCTGCATGTGTGTAAGTGCATCCATGTCCTGCAATGCAGTGGAGGTCAGAAGAGGGTGTCAGATCCCCTGGAACTGGAGTTACAGATGTTAGCCAGCATGTAGGTGCTGGGAACCAAACCTGGGTCCTCTGTAAGACTAGCCAGTGCTCTTAACTGCTGAGCCATCTCTCCAGTCCTTATTTCTCTTCTCAAAGAGCCTTCAGAACATCTTTCCTAACATACCTTGTGAAGAAATCCTGTCACCTTTGCAAGTGACCACTTAGCAGGAGGCGACTTGAAGAGCCAAAGTTCTGAGGATGACGAGTGATGGACGAAACTAACACTGAGGAGGCTAGGAGGAGTTTTGCTTGTTAGAAGCTCAATCTGTCTCTTTCTAGATTGCTAGATAAATGGTGGAAGAGAGGGCAATGCCAGATGTCACCAAGGTCACCAGGGTCAAGCAGAAACACAGCAGCTGCAGCTTTCAGCCAGTTACACAGTGAGCAGTTACAGTGGTTCATCTGTACCTGATTCCAAGATACATGACTCAAAATCCACCCATGAGGTGGTCTTCTCTGGACTGCAGAGCTGCATCCTTGACTCGCCTTACAGTAGAAATCACATCCAAGCTGTCGCAGTGTCCAAATGTTAAAAGTAGGAATAGTAATGACCAGATTTGGTTGCTATGTTAAATTTTATTTAGCATCCTTACAAAGTACATACTAAATTGGTGAACTCAAATTTAACAAAATATATTTCTTTCATAGGAAAACCTGAGGAGACAAAAAGGATATGAGTCTTCAGAACTTTTGAATGAAGTGCACAGCCTTTTACAGAAACCTAGATATGCGGGTTTCCAAACTTTATTTTCTGAGCCCTATCAAGGTTTGACCAGCACAGATAGAATTGGTACGTCAAGATGTCCACCTTGGTACAGATATTCTTCCAGGAACAGCGTGGGAGTCACAGATTGGGAAGGCCCTTCACAACTCTGGCCTGCGATCTTCCGCTTGCGTCTCAGTGAAGACACCAAGGCGGACGTGCGCTACTACGGCCTCACCATACTTTTCCTGATGATATCAGTTTCTCTCACTTTGTATTTTCTCTGAAGTTATCAAATAAAACCCTTGGACAATTTTTAATGTTTCTAGCTCTTCCTTGTATTCAGTTCTTCAAGCTTTTCTTCCAGACATTTTCAAGGTAATTGGCTTAAAAAAATACATTGGCTTTATATTAGAAATGATGTCATTACACAGTTTGGAAATAATTGTCTAAAGATCATCCAAAGAAATCTAAAACAGGTCTTAAAATTTTTGATCAAAGGAACAATTTGAAAATTAAGATATTTATAAGGATAATTTGGCTTACAGTAAATGATCTTATAGCTAGTTTG